CACTGTAGCGTGTTCTGTCAGGTATCCCCAAGGACTCAGGACTGGAGGAAAACCCAGTCCATTCTGTGTGTACTTAACTGCATTCAGCAGGGCTCACAGACTTAGTCTGCCTTTGCTGAAGGAGAGACTGGGCACTGGTACCAAGGCTTTCATCAAGGCCAGAAGGCAAGGGGTGCAGAAGGCAAGGATGAAAGGAGCTCTAGGAGAGGGGTCTCATCACAGAAAGGGTTGGAAAATGGAGTCTCAAAAGCCACAAGGGCTTAGAGGAGCTAGGGATTATGGGCACCTCCAAAAAGGAGATGGGAGAAGAGGGTAGGAAGTGGTGCAATATCTCAGTTGGGCCTAAAGAAACTGCAAGATTGCATCTCCAAGGGTGGGGGAACAGGGTTAGGGGAAGAGGGCAAGCCATAGCTTTGAGGATGCAGGGTACCTCCTCCTCCTAGAGTATTAGTGGGGTGCTCTGTGAGCAACTGTCACTTTGTTGGATTCACTGAAGCATTTGCACTAGCCAAAGCGGAAACACAGTGAATTGCTTCTGGTGGATGGGTTGCTCAGCAATCTGTGAACCAGAAGGTGATGGTGAATCTGTATCACGTGGACCTGAGATGAGGGATAGGGTCCAAGTGCATCTTAAACCCAGATGAGGAGGGCAGGCAGCAGGAGAGCCTATTGCAATCAGAGCATCACTGTGTTACATCTCTGAGGGGAAAAGTTTCCTGAATTGGAACTTTGATGTGGGAGGATTCCCCAGTGCAAGTGTTACAGCTCTGCTCCCATGGGGAAAGATTACCCAATGCAAGTGTTAAAACTCTGAAGGGAAAGGTATTCTTGCAGTCACACGACACAACAAACTTCACATGAGAGTTTTATTTGGAGGGAAAACCCGAGGGTGTGCTTCTGCTTGGGCAGGAAGCAGCAGAGAGCTGAGCAGAAGACAGGGTTTATATAGCGTTTCTTAGGGGTGGAACTTTCCATGTGGAGATTTCCAGTGTAAAGATTGTTAGGGTTTCAAGTCTAGAGCGTGGGATTTTTACTCTATGAGAGAAGCGTGTGTGCCTGTATCTGGAGGGGCTGTGTCTGGACTTTAGGGCAGTTAGAGTGTTCTGTGGGTAGAGTTTCTTAGCTGCAGGTCATAAGGCATGTTTGGCCACATGGAGGCCTCGAGGGCCTTATAAAAAGTGCTTTGCATGATACTATAGTCTTTGTGTTTGTCCTTTTAGGAGGTGTTAGTCTTTAATTATTGTTCTAAGATAAACTCGGAAACACAGTGGTGTATAATTCTGTCATCACAATCATTCAGTTCCATTTCCACCCTTGTGTTTTGATTGAGCTGTGATTAGAAGTGGTAGGACTCAAGTTAGGCTAACAGAATATGGTCCCTAATTGTTGTCAGTATTTATATACTGGATAAGACCTGGTGAACCATTCGTAAAATCCTTTACATCATTTTCTCTTTATTCGTACAATACTGTGATTGAAATCCAGGAGCTTTCTGAAGAATCTCTTTCTCAGGTAGTTTCATTGATATGCCAGAACGGCTCACTTTTATGCAGAACCTACAAACCTGGAAGGCAGAGAGAAATTAGACAGTACAAAATATACCAGGTATTTTGGATGTATTAAGGTAGAGGTTTTGAGGGGTTCATGTGACAGTGGAAAAGGCATGGAGGTAGGGGTTTTGAGGTGAGTCAACAGTTAATAGCCCTTTCTTGTCTAGAAAAGGGCATGGGTTCATTTCCCTTCATCAATGTGGAGGCTGACAACCATTTATAACTTTAGTTTCAGAGACCTGATGCCTTTTCTTACCACAGTTCACACCAGGCACAAATATAGAGCACTTACATACATGCTACAAAACATTGATACCCATCAGCTAACATACAAAATCTAAAGAAAAAAATAAAAACAATGAAAGTGCAACTGAGATATGAGAATGCTTTTGCCACATTCTGTTTCTCTAGAAATGATTCTAGAGCAGTGATTCTCAACCTTCCTAATGCTGCAACACTTAAAGTCAGTTCCAGCTGCTTACATGTGGGCTTATCTCCATGTGCGCAGAATCATGAGATGGATACAGGAGTGATGTTTCAGTTCCTAAGACCATCAGAAGTGTTTTCTTCTTGTCTTAGGCAACCCCTATGAAAAAGTCTTTCTACCTCCCCTCTCCTCACCCATCCCCCATTCTTACCCCACCCCCATAAAGGCTTGCAACCCACAGGTTGAGAACATCTGTTTTAGAGTATTCTACTGTAAATGTTCTCTAGATTATTTAATTGTACATGTTATTGGTTTCCCATATAAGCATCAATACTTTAAAAAAATATATTTGACTGTGCATGTGTGTGGACACTCCCCCAAGTTCTGCACCACCATTGCTCCAGCACATCTTGCAGGCAGGAGAGATTACAGGTTGAAGGTTTCCTCATTACCAGCAGTCTAATTTAACTTCGGTAAGTGATAGCTATTGAGAAATTTACCCATTTCTTTTAGTTTCTAATTTTGTGGACTACGGGTTTTTAAACTATGATCCAATGATTCTTTGTATTTCCTTGGTGTTTGTTGATAGGTCCCCCTTTTGTGTTTCTGATTTTGTTAGTTTGGACATTATTCATCCATCTTTTAGTTAGTGTGTTTAGGGGTTTGTCTATCTTGTTGATTTTCCTAAAGAACCAACTCTTTGTTTCATTGATTCTTTGTAATGTTCTCTTTGTTTTTATTTTATTGATTTTAGTCTTCAGTTTGTTTTCTGTAATCTGCTCCTCTTGAGTAAACTTGATTCTTTTTGTTCTAGAGCTTTCAGGTATGATGCTAAGTGGCTAGTGTGAGATCTGTCCCATTTCTTTATGTGAGCACTTAGTGGTATGAGCTTTCTTCTTAGTACCACTTTCATTGTGTCCTATAAGTTTGGGTATAAAGTATGCCATGGAGTCTAGCTCCAAGGCTCTACACACAGGATTTGTAGAATAAACCACAGCGTAGTGAAAACTAATTTGGCACTTTACCTGAGGGGTAAAAATGGAATAAATTCACACATGAACTGTTTGGGTCCTGTTCTTTTATTCTGCTTCAGCTTTCTCTTCATAGCTTATATACACATTTAACAGCAACTTTAGGCAGTAAAAAAGGTTACAGAAAACTCTTCTCAGGGTCACAAAGCATTCCTTACATAAGTGCCAACTTCTGATAGTGGGCAGCTGCAGCTGTGGATATAAAAGGGGGATTTTTGGCTGTACACTAACTTCCTAAGGTGATTAGCCTAAGAGGTTAACAAGGGCAAAAGGCTAAACTATTATATTCCTTAAGTGTATTTAACATTGTAGGCTAACATTCTGTGGCAAAGCTGTCAGTTTCTCTTCGGAGCTTCCAGCAGGAGAGAACTGCTGCAGCCCAGATGCTAGGAGCCATATGCAAATAACCAATGGACAGAATTATGTCTGTGTAACCATGGCGACCTGTGTAAATCACAAGGGGAAGTGAGCAGCATTGACTTGCATCAGAGCTTTTGCCAAAGGCTGGCTGGCAGAGAAGAAATGTCTCAGATATAAAAATACATTTTCTGTCCTGTAACCAGAGCATGGAGGGAACCTTGTAACTTTTTTGTTCAATGCTATGAAGCCAGGCCATCTCCCTGTAATTCTGGCCATCTATGTAGCCTTTCTCACTGTAACTAGGCATAAAGCTATTTTTCTCTGGACATGGTTAGTTGCTTAACAGCTTTTTCCTGTTAATCATGTAAATTAACATAGACATGTAACACTTAAACATAGACAGTTGGTTAATTGAGCCTCATATCTAGTGTCATGAACTGAGGTTAGAATGTTCCTACAAATTGTTAATTGCTAAAGGATCAGAGCAGGTGAACACTGAGTCTCCTTATCAGCTGCTGTTGGAGAAAGAACAGGGCTATTCAGTCTCTGAATGATCGTGATTTAACAAGGCCAGACACCCTGTAATTTCATCCTTGAGTCTAATCTGTGGAAGTTCTACTTGTTATCCATTCACAGAGACTCTTCATCTGACCAAATTGCCTGTTAGTAACCTAATTATAGAGAACAGGCTTCTATGTTTCTCACCATAATATGGAACAAAGGCTGAATTATGAGAGCTTGTTTTATTTATCAGAAATAAATGGTGTAGGGAGACGTGTGTATGATCACATCTTCATTAAAAAGGACCTGGGTGCTTTTCTTTCCTACCTATGTTCTTATCACAGGGATTTGGTATTCTGTGAATTCATTCATCCCCACCCCCCCTTGCCCTTCTGCCCATGGTCCCTTTTTCCCTTCTTCTTCTTCTTCTTCTTCTTCTTCTTCTTCTTCTTCTTCTTCTTCTTCTTCTTCTTCTTCTTCTCCCTCCTCCTCCTCCTCCTCCTCCTCCTCCTCCTCCTCCTCCTCCTCCTCTTCCTCCTCCTCCTTTTTCTCCTCCTCCTCCTCTTCCTCCTCCTCCTCCTCCTCCTTCTTCTTCTCTCTCTCTCTCTCTCTCTCTCTCTCTCTCTCTCTCTCTCTTTGTTGTTGGTAACATTTCCCATATTAATTTAATCCTTTAGGTAGAAATAGTAGTTTGCTGGTTCTGTGTGGTGGACATGGTCTAGTACTCTACAGCTCTCCTATTTGTCAATTTCTTGTGTAAAATGCTTTATTTGTTATGTTATGATGACTAATTTCATTCTTCTATTTGTATGTGTAATTTGCCTCTTAATTATGATCTGCAGTGCACCTTGAGTGGATGACCTTTGTTATTTCATAAATTTCTTCATGTGCTCTTGCTTTTCCATTAATTTTAGGAGCTGATGTTTTTGGGTGCAATGACGAAGTTCACAGTCATTTTCTTTCTCCACTCTAAATATATCCTTCTGTGTTCTCTTGTCTATAGAAATGTTGAAAAGATTGCTAGTATCATTTTGATTTTGCGGTCTTTTATGTGGTTTGGCACTGTTCATAACAGTGTGGTATTAATTTTAACTTTGTATTTTTGATACCTTGATGTGAAATTTCAACAAGAATTCCAGTTTTTGGTCCAGGGACAGGAACTCAGAGACGAACAACAAGAACAATGAATGCTTCTCTGGTAAATGCTCCCGAGGTCAGTGCCATGCTTATATTTTTTGAAATTCGTTTTTATTATTGAAACCGTTATTATTGAAACCGTTTAAGACTTGAATTCTCTACCTCTGGTAATGTTATCAAAAGTATCTGTTTTCTATGATTTATTTTCTTTTTCTCTGATAATCAAGAGTAAGTCTGTAGATCTTTCACATACATAGCACAGCCCTTTCTACTTATATTTTCATTCCATGTTTTACTTTGAGAACATAAATTTTCATAGACTGAAGACCTGTCATTCTGAAAGAGAATATATTGCAAATGGTACTCAAAGAATATATTGATGGCCAGTATCTACATAGGATGGACTGGGTCCTTTTATATTAATGAGGAAGGAAGTTCTCATGTACCAGGTCAGGTTTCCAGAACCAGGCTTATGAATGTGGACATGCAAATACATGAATTTTTTTGATGACTTCACTGAACCATTTATGGAAAAGTAGAATTAGTGAAGATTCACTGTCTTGAATCCCAGTAGTAAATATATCAGCACCCTAGATAGTATGGATGATAGAAGGAATAAGTTGCTGGCTTCTTCCATAAAATTAAAGGGTTTGTGTTCACGTGCAAATTGAAGTATACTTGTTTCTCCCTTTGACATGTAATATTACACAGTGATAATAGGCGTGTTACTATTGGAAATCTACTCATCTGTGAAGTCCTGATATTTTTTTTTTTTCTTTTTGATTTTCGAGACAGAGTTTCTCTAGGTAGTTTTGGTGCCTGCCCTGGATCTCTCTGTAGACCAGGCTGGCCTTGAACATTGAGATTCTTAATACTCAGTTGTAAGTTGTCAATAGGCAGATGATTATTATTATTTTGTTGTTGTTGTTCTTTATTTTTCAGAAGGGTATAAGTACCAGTGTCTCCACCTTTGTATTGCACCATGTAGGATATATTACTAAGAATTTTCTGGAGAGAATTGAATTGGTGCTGTGCATAAGCCATCAATTTTGAAGCATAAACAAATGTCCCACTTAAACCCTTTACTCTTCTTTGCTTTTGGAGGTATAAGGCTGCTCCCACCCTGTTTTTTCTCCCCCTGAGGCCATGTATTTCATATGAAGAGATTCTTAAGTGTTGTGGGGATGGACAGGTTTCTACTTCTCCTTTTACAAATAACATTTTATTTAAGTATATGAGTGTTCTCCATACGTCTATGCACACAGCATGATGCATTATTCACCTGCATCCCTGAGCTTGGCAACAAATCTGACACTGGAGTTACACACTGTAATGAGCTGCCATGTGTGTAGAGAAAGTTAAATTAGATTTCTCTGCAGGAACAGCAAGTGCTTTTACCTCTGAGCCATTTCTCTAACGCCAAGGTTTACATTCCTGTTGTGTATTTGTGAGACAGAGAGTGTAGAACCTTGCATCTTTTAGTTTTTGAGAAGTTAAGAATTATAAATGACGCTTAACTGTGTAATATAAAATCCTGGTTGATGAGAGAGCTCAATTCCTGAAGAAAATAATAGGGTTGAAATGAAAAGATTTGAGTTTTCATTTGAGCCAATCTCATGAGTAGTAATGTATCCAACATTAATGAAGAATTAGTATGATTCTCACAACGCCTAATATATATGTTTCAATCATAAAATGTTTCTTCCTGATCTGGATTCATTGTCACACACATTCCATTTTTTACACATATTTCTAACGGTCCTGTTTTGAAACACCATATAGAATTCATGAAATTGCTATTATCTGTGCTGTTGAGTCAACTTTTATAAAAATTTACATAATAATTCTGTCTATTTCTGATTATTTACTTAGTCATTGTGAAATATTGTCAAAATAATTGCACAAAGTATTTGAGTTTATGTGTTTGGAACATTGGATGTACACGCTGATGTTACACTCCTTACTATTTAAAGAAAACAGTGGATTCTGCATTCCATATTCTATATCTTGGGTTTAGAAAGGGTGCAACATTGCACCTAGGCTTCAGGATCTCAATTGACCATGGTAGAATTTAGTGTGATGTATCCCAGCTACAGATAGGATAAATACAGTGTCCATAGTTGAGTGAGGTCAACAGTTGTAGAATTTAGAAGCACATTTCAGTTTTGCTCATCATAGTTAACCATCTGAGATTGACCTAGGGATCCTATTTGATATTAACACGTACTCCATAAAGGTAAATTTCTGCATGTAGTACTCACATGTGTGTTATATTCCCTAAAAGTTTGCTGACTGTGATACTATTAATGTCATCCTCATTTTATAGAGATAGGAAATACAGTACAGGCTATGACCATTTTACTGTTTTACTATAATTAAATTTCAGTTTTGTTTTATGTACAGGTATTGTTGCCTGAACATATGATTGTGTACTGTGTATACCTTTTGTCTGTATAGTTCAGAAGTGAGCATGGGATCCCATGGAATTGGGGTTAAAACCTGTTGTATAGTGCCACAAGGGTGCTGTGAACCAAACTACATTTTAAAGGACGTTAAAAGTCACTATAGAATCCAAACAGCAGAAACCATTTTCAAATGTAGCAATTGTGGCAAATCCTTTATCTGCTGCTCAGGTCTTAGAAAATATCAGCAAATTCATGAAGGATAGAGACCTTAAGAATGGAAGCAATGTAATAAATCTTTCATTAAATTGTGTATGGAAGAGAAGCAGTGGTGAACCTCTAACACATTCCTGCAGCCCTGCTAGAAAACTTTTGTCTTTGAACAACTGCCATGCCTCATCTACATCACCGAAGTGTCTAATTCTTTAGTTTCTTTTACCTAGGAAAGCATTTTGTTCAGCAGCACATGATGTATATGTAACTTCCCATTACAGAGTCTGTTATCATTCAGGGAAGTGGCTGTGGACCTCTCACAGGAGGAATGGGAATGTCTAGATTGTGCTCAAAAGGCATTGTACATGGATGTAATGTTGGAGAATTACAACAATCTAGTCTTTCTAGGTAAGAATGCTCTTCTATGGAATTTGTGATTCATCCTTTTCATTTACTTACTTTATTTATATGTAATCTCTCTGAACTGTCTAGACACTCTCAGAAATAAGGGAAATTCTAGTTATCAGCATAGTTCTTTCATGGTGCCTTCCTTTACATTTTTCAGTGCTTCATAGAAGCATAAACAATGCTATATTCTGAGTGATTTCTCCAGCACTCCTCTAGTTTTTAAAGAAAACTTCATAGTTCAAAGAAGATTGACTGTTCAGAACATGGAAATATATTGCAGTACACACAACAATTTGAATAGTTTGATTTTACTGTTGGATTTAACTATTCACCTGTTTCTGATTTTTACAGTTCAGGAGGTTTCAAACAAAAGTTGAGCTTCTGGTAGTTAGCATGGGTTTTTGTTTGTTTTGTTTATTCAGTTTTTGAGATGTATTCTTTATGTTGAGTCATGAGAAAGCATGATTTTAATGCTAGCAGTAGTGATGCAGAAGCAAAAGGATATGTGTTCCATCCCTACCTGGGTTACATAATGTGTTCCTAGCTGTCCAAAGCTATCCAGTCTGGCTGTGTTTCAAATACATACAGGAAAATAGATAAAACATTATTCATATGATCCTTCAGGGAGCTTCTCTAATTATTGCTTGATCACTTATTTGTCTTGTGTTCTGCAAGGTACACAGTTTAGATATGAAAGAGAAGGCCAATGTCAGTCCTTTTGGTTTGACATAGGTCAGACTGGAGCATCCATGTAATGATGTGAGACAGAATAGACCTCTGTAGAGAACTCTATCCCTGAGAATTGGAAGTTTATATGTGATAGAAAACTTAAGATAATTAGTCATTAAATCTCTGATTCATGCTTTAATCCCTGTTTTCCTTCATTGTGGCAATTTTCCAGGTAAAAATCAAAGAGTCCACACAGGAAAGAAAGAACACAAAAATACAGAGCTTGATAAATCTTTTGACTCTGAACATGGACTCACACTGAAACGTACCAATAGTGAAAAGAAACCACACGAAAGCTGGAAATGTGGAAACTGCTTCAAGACAGACTCAAGCCTTAGTAGACATCAGAGAGCTCATAGTAGACAGAAACCTTATAAATGTACAAAATGTAGTAAATCCTTTACACATTTGTCACAATTCAAAGTACATTGCAATTTCCATTGTGGAGAAAAACCCAACGAATGTACAGACTGTCCTAAGTGTTTTTACAAGACATCAGAATTTAAAAGACATTGCAGAATACATTCTGGAGAGAATACTTACAAATATAGTGAATGTGACAAATCCTTTCGTCGACAAAACCATCTTAGAGCTCATCAGAAAATTCATACAGGAGAGACACCTTACAAATGCAGTGACTGTGATAAATCCTATAAACAGAGAAGCAGTCTTAGAGTTCATCAAAGAATACATACAGGAGAGAAACCTTACAAATGTATTGAATGTGACAAATCCTTTACCACTGCCTCACATCTTAGAACTCATCAGAGAATTCATACAGGAGAGAAACCTTACAAATGTAGTGAATGTGACAAATCATTTGCCCAGAAAGCCAATCTTAGAACTCACCAGAGAATTCATATAGGAGAGAAACCTTACAAATGTAGTGAGTGTGACAAATCTTTTACCAGTGGCTCATCCTTTAAATTGCATCAGAGTATTCATAGAGGAGAGAAACCTTACAAATGCAGTGAATGTGACAAATCCTTTACACACAAAGTCAGTCTTAGAGCTCATCAGAGCATGCATACAGGAGAGCAACTTTACAAATGTATTGAATGTGACAAATCCTTTTTTCATAAATCTTTTCTTACAATTCATCAGAGAATTCATACAGGAGAGAAACCTTACAAATGCAGTGAATGTGACAAATCCTTTATCACAAAAGACCATCTTAGAAGTCATCAGAGAACTCATACAGGTGAGAAACCTTATAAATGCAGTGAATGTGACAAATCCTTTTCCCATAAAAGCAATATTAGAATTCATCAGGCAATTCACACAGGAGAGAAACCTTACAAATGCAGTGAATGTGACAAATCCTTTGTCCACAAAGACTATCTTAGAACGCATCAGAGAATTCACACGGGAGAGAAACCTTACAAATGCAGTGAATGTGACAAATCCTTTATCCATAAAGACTATCTTAGAACTCACCAAGTGATTCATACAGGAGAGAAACCTTACAAGTGCAATGAGTGTGACAAATCCTTTACCAGGGTATTCAGTCTTAGAATTCATCAGAGACGACATAGAGGAGAAAATCCTTACAAATGTAGTGACTGTGACAAATCTTTTGCTCGGAATGGCCATCTTAGAGCTCATCAGAGAACTCATACATTAGAGACACCTTACAAATGCAGTGAATGTGATAAATCCTTTACACAAAGAGACCGTCTTACAGCTCACCAGAGAACGCATACAGGAGAAAAACCTTACAAGTGTATTGAATGTGACAAATCCTTTACCAGTGCCTCACAACTTAGACTTCATCAGAGAATTCATACGGGAGAGAGACCTTATAAATGTAGTGAATGTGACAAATCCTTTTTCCATAAACACAACCTCAGCTCTCATCAAAGATTTCATACAGGAGAGAAACCTTACAAATGTGGTGAATGTGACAAATCCTTTCCCCGGAAAGACCATCTTAAAAGTCACCAGAAAATTCATGCAAGAGAGAAATCTTAGAAATTTAGTGAGTGTGACAAATCTTCTAGCAAGAAAGCCCATCCTGCCGGGCGGTGGTGGCGCACGCCTTTAATCCCAGCACTCGGGAGGCAGAGGCAGGCGGATCTCTGTGAGTTCGAGGCCAACCTGGGCTACCAAGTGAGTCCCAGGAAAGGCGCAAAGCTACACAGAGAAACCCTATCTCGAAAAACCAAAAAAAAAAAAAAAAAAAAGCCCATCTTAGACCTCAGTAGAGAACTCATACAGTTGAGAAACCTTGCCAATGTAGGGAATGTGACAGATCTTTTATCAGTTGCTCAGATCATAGAAAACATTAGAGATTCTATACAGGAGAGAAACCCTTCATGTGTACTACATGTCAAAAATTCTTTATCAGTTCCCCCATGTCTTAGAAGACATTAGATTATTCATGAACAAGAAACCTTACCAATATATAAAATGTAATCAAAAGAGTGTCAGTTACTAGGCCCTCAAGCTGAATCCAGGTGGGCCTATGAGGAAGTACATTATGTGCTTGCTTGGTAACTTGTTTGAGCCAATTTCCTCAACTATAGGGCCTGCCCCACTACTTATCCACCCTTTTATTTTATTACATGTGTGCTCAGCAGCAGTCAGAGTTATATGCCCTGGCTGTCTTTACCTTGCCTTGGATGCTCAGCAATTAGATTGTGCCTGTCTTAGATTGGCTTGCCAAACAAGCACTTACCTGTCTTTGACTCTCAGCCCTCAAAGAGTGTTCATCCCTGGGGAGTCTCCCCAAGTGGGGAGGATCAGTAAGCAGCCTTATCAGTTTCAGAAAGCTAGGCATGCACAACCAGCGATGGAGGGCTATGATGGTGGAGGGCTATGATTTGGATGCCTAAGAGCCTTTGACACCTGTAGAGTCCCCTTAGTGTCTGCCCATTGCCGGATGTGCTGTAAGAGACTGTTAAAAAGGAGAAAGCTTAAAATCACCACCCTGCCAATCAAAACACGAGTTAAAATCCAGAAGGGATCTAGCAGTCTTTTTATGTCATGCCAAACCCTTTCAAGAAATAAAGAGTCAAAGGCCATAACCTCTGTCCTTTTCTGACTTAATAGGAAAATTTCATGTGTTAGCTGTCCACCTTGACTGGGAAGGCTTCTATGGGCCTATGGCCTGACAGTGGTACAGGCTGTGAGGGTTGTAAGACTCTTGGCCCTGTGGAAGACTATTTACCTCCTGAGGGAGGCATGTAGTGGGGTATCTTACCCCAAGAATACCTTGATGGTGGCATAGGTGCCTGCACTGGTGTTAGACCAGAGAGGGAAACAGTACATGACTTAATAATTACAGCTGCTTTCTCCTTTACAGATTTTGCAGGGCCCAAAATGACTTTCTCCTCATCATTTGGATGTTGTAGAGATATCTGACATAGTGATGTTTGTGTAGAAAAGATTACCCATCTTTTATAGAGAAACAGCAAGCAAACAACAGAGAGAAGATGACCATTAACAAGTATGAAAATTTGTATCACACCCTTGTCTTATGCTTAGTGGGGCACTTCTGTAGCTTTTTAGTCCTCAGACCTTATGCCCACAAGATGTCTCCAGGCACCCCTCATTGGTTGTCCAGTCATTTTGTGGAGGTTCTAGATGAAAGCAAACAGAAAAAAAATGTGCCTCCCTAATGGGACAGGCAGGCAAACATGACAGACAACACAAAAGAAGGAAAGAAATGGGAGTCCCAATGCTTCCTTGCTGAACAGACCAAAAGATCACAACACTGAGGGCCCTTCAACCGAAACACACTATCTTGGGGTCTGGCTGTCAAGCACCATGAGTGAAGGGAGGGAGACGATAAGAATCTGTCTCAGGGGGGTTGGTGAGATGGCTTAGTGCTTAAGAACACTGGCTGTTCTTCCAGAGGTCCTGAGTTCAATTCCCAGCACCCACATGGTGGCTCACAACCATCTGTAATGAGATCTGGCTCCCTCTTCTGGCCTGCAGAAATACATGCAAACAGAACATTGTATACATAATAAATAAATAAATCTTAAAAAAAAAAAAGAATCTGTCTCAGAAAAGAGAGTAACAGAAGCTCCACCTTGGGTGCCAGATGCTACTGGACACTAATTGCTCCCTAAGGATAGGGCATGTGAAGGCACAGCATCAACAGCACAGACACTGGGAGTCAGTTGAAGGCAAACAACAAACTTATTTATTCAATAACACGGAAGGCCTCATATATCCTCCCAAAACTCATGCTGTGTCCTAATCTTGTGTCATTGTGTGGTTGTCCCTCATTGGCTGGGTATGATCAGAAACTCTGACGGTGCATGTTACTAAGCCCTCAGCCAGACTCCATGTTGGTTCATAAGGAAGTGCATCATGTACATGCCCTGGCAATCAATCGGAGTCAATTTCCTCGACCCTATGGGCCCAGCCTCTACTACAGATAAGTAAAAACAAATTCTGGGAGATAAGACAGGGCCTGTCCATTGAAGAGGTATGCTGTGTGTTTAACTTTCCTGGATTGTCCACTCCTTATCTGGGTGCACAAGACTGCCCTCTACATTTTCCCATTTCTAAGTTTTTGAAGAAAAATAGCAGCCATAATAGAGGCTCTGGTTGAATGCATTGACTCTATGTAAAGTCTAATTAATACAAGCATAAGGGAATTATAAGAATAGCTAACAGAACCAAGGAAACAGGAAAGGCTCTTAGCCACAAGGGGCTTATAAAAGTCACTTGAGGGCCGGGCGGTGGTGGCGCACGCCTTTAATCCCAGCACTCGGGAGGCAGAGCCAGGTGGATCTCTGTGAGTTCGAGGCCAGCCTGGGCTACCAAGCGAGTCCCAGGAAAGGTGCAAAGCTACACAGAGAAACCCTGTCTCGAAAAACGAAAAAAAAAAAAAAAAAAAAAAAAGTCACTTGAGAGATTATTATCTGTCTCCTTATACAGGGTATTGATTTGATCATCAATAGTATGAGAAAATCTGATACAATCAAGCAACACATGCCAGGTAATTGTTGACAACCAAGATTATTTTTGAGCAACAAATAATCTATAGTTCTATATTATATTACTGTTGCCTCCAGTTCACTCATATCTTGGTTGACTTTTTACTAATAGTTTTCTAGTTATATTTGTAGTTTTACTTATTTTTACTAATCATACAGAGCAATTTAGATACTTCTCTTTGAGTTCAAAAATTCATTCTGGAATAGGCAATGAAAGGGCTGAAGTGGCTTCAATAATTACAGGAGCTAATAGATGCAAAGAATCACCACTATTTTTATGGAGTGCTCTCCCAATTCTATTGATGAATTGTAGTCATTTACTTTGGGATTTTTAACTACAGAGAGACATTTGATTGTGGGACCTACTAAGTCAAACCAACATACGTATTTTAAAGGTATCTCGTTTTTGAAATTTGGATCTAAGGATATGTTGTTTTGGAAAAGAGGTTCTGCTTTGGTTTCCATAGACAATGAGAACCTATGGATTGCTTTCCGGTTTATATGGTTTGATCAAGCAAGACCCCCTGAAAGGTCTCTGATGACAACCATTGCCCAGATGATCCAACACCTAGAACATCTTCAAGGCAACTGGTTGAGACTGTACTGCCTCAGACTACTACAGCCAAGATTTAACTATAATTTTAAATTTTCTCAGGATCCCCATAAGATTGCCAGCACCCCCAATCAGCAGGAAGTAGTATGGAAAGCTGCACTCAAATTCTCAAAATATTGTTTATGATAGTTTGTTTTTATTTAAAGGAGGTTGATTATATATGGCTAATGGTCATACTCAATCTCTTTCTAAATAAAAAAGATGGATATGTTATAGAAATAGTGAACAATAGATTATTGAATCTTCTTTAATCCCAATCAAACAACTGTTAATCTTAAAATACATTGATAAGGATTTTGGTGTATTGATACAAATTGAAGGTCAATTTTGTTATGCTCTATGTATATTTCTACTCTTGTTTAAGGTATGTTTGTGCAACACATTTAAAATTGTATCATTAAATAATACAGATTAATACTTAAGGTGAAGATGTACAAACTAGGGATCCAACACTACTCATTATGACTATAAGACTGATTCTTCTTAGTTCATCCAATAAACAATCATCTACATTTAAAGAGACAGCAAAGTCAGTTAAAAATTTTAATCACTGAGAAACATCTAATTAAACTGATTGATTGTAGCAAGCTTAGTCTTTTTAGCTATATCACTTGGAATGGGTACAATCTTTGAGAAATATGTGGTATTTAAATAAGAATATATGTTTCTTATCCCTTTAATGGGTCATCTGTAAAAAGCATTAAAAGCAGTATCTTTTCGATTAAAAAATCCCAAATCTATTGAGTTTTTAGATATTATTTTACCAATACCCATGGGGCATGTTCAAAATCTTAAGAGGGAAAATTTTGGATGAGTTTTTATGGAATCCCAGTAACATGTTAATGTAACCCCTTCAATTATTATCAGTGTATAACAAATAAAAGACCTTGATTTTTTTTCTAGCAGCACAATGATTTTCATAGGCTATTTATCTTTAAGGGTTTATTTTGAATTACCTCTTTGGTAACTGTATTATTTAATAAGCCTGTTCTGTTTTAAGTGGTACATTTGTTGTAGAATTTAACTGAGAATGTTCAGAAAGCAACTTAAAGAACAGAGACAAATCTCTAGTAGTACTAAACAGATAAGAGCATTCCTAATAATAAGACTCAATTTAAAATTTTTTTTTTTTTTTTTTTTTTTTTTTTTTTTTTTTTTTTTTGGTTTTTCGAGACAGGGTTTCTCTGTGTAGCTTTGCGCCTGTCCTGGAACTCACTTGGTAGCCCAGGCTGGCCTCGAACTCACAGAGATCCGCCTGGCTCTGCCTCCCGAGTGCTGGGATTAAAGGCGTGCGCCACCACCGCCCGGCTTTCAATTTAAAATTTTTTGCTTTTACCATGAAAGTTAAGCATTTACTTAAGCATTAATTTGATGATCAGGAAAAGATAATATACTCCATATATTATATGAATAATACCTTTAGAAATTCAAACAGCATTCATTGGCTTAGTGCTTTGTACCCTGATAGCAATTATTTCTATACTATAGGCTTTGTTTTTTTCTCCCATGAAGGGACTATTGAAAATTAGTTATTCCCACGATGAGTGAAAAATAAAACATTTCCCATAAAAGGACCTTTAAGTTTGAGTTATTTCAGTTATGAGAAAAATTAAACATTTAAACAAAAATCAATCAAATAACTACATTAAGTTCTGAGGCAGGCAAGCTAGCTCATGTTGTGGTGTTGGAGTTCCGTGGGTCATTCCTTGGAACTCACTGTGCTCCATCAAACCCTGGCAGTCATAAAAGCTGGAGGTTCAAGGGCTTTGAGTTCTAGCAAGATCACTCAATGAGTGTTATTGGAAAGCCTGTGCATCTGGAGTCTACTGTGGCACATCCTACTAAGACCTTCCCATATCTGTGGCTGAAAAATTCCATCTCTCCCTTTTTTTCTGAGTAGCTGCAAACAATACATTATCGTACTCCAACTTGTAAAATAATTAACATGGACTTTATCTCTCTTTTCATAAGATATGCATATAAAGTTGTAGAGCTTTTGCTTTGAATATTTGTTCCTTTGGATCTAAAACAAATATTTTTATAATTGAACAAAATGCTTTGTTTCAAAGGACTGTGAAGAACACATGTTAATTTTCACTTTCTCACTTATGATCACTACCCCTTGGGTGCGAGATCTGGATTTCCTAAACCCCTAATTTCATTTTAAAGAAAACTTTTCTTACCTTCTCTGAGGGTTGTGTGTCCCACATTGTGCCAGCTGTGGTGATTCCCCTGCAGGCTTTACACCAGGATGGAAAAACTGATCAACAAAGAAACAAGAATGAAATTTGGCTCAGCCCAGTTTTATTATAACTGGTGCTGGAACAGGACTTCTATAGTCTGACACAGATCATTTTGCTTTAGTCATATTTAAGCACAGCACAACTTTTGAAAAAAATACTCAGATAACAATAGTCAATTAACTCAGTCCCAAGTGCACAAAAAATTAAGACATGTTTACATTGAGATTCCTTATAAAGTACAACTGGCCTATGGCTGTTAGGTTTGGCCTGACCCTAAGATAACATAGAAGTTACTCAGACTATTGTAAAGCACTAGTGACCTCACTCATAACAGTGTGTTTTATGGTCTAAAAGCAATGCTGAAGATTTAGGGGAAAGGTCTTGGATAAGTAAAAAACATATATTCTGGGAGGTAAGGTAGAGCCTGTCTCATCAGACAGCAAAGGATCACCGGGTTGTAAAACAACATCATTCCTAGTGTTCTAGGTATAGCAGCTTCACACCTCATTCTGTTGAAGAGGTAAGCTGTGTGTTAAGCTTTCCTAGCTTCTCCAGTGCACAAGGCTCAGTGCTCTACATAAGTTGTATGCACATTATATTGCAAATAAAGTGGTTTTTTTTTTGGTTTTTCAAGACAGGATTTCTTTGTGTGACAGCCATAGATGTCCTGGAGCTCACTTTGAATATCCAGCTAGGCTTGAACTAAGAGATCCACATGCTTCTGCCTCCTGGGTGCTGGAATTAAAAGCATGCACAACTATGCCTAGCAATAAAGTGCTCATTTTTTCTTTATTTCTTATCTTTCCAGACAGTGTCTCTTTACACAGCTGTAGCTAGAGTTTTCCTGCCTGGCCCACAGTCAGGACAAATCTCTCTCACTTGCCAGTCCCACAGCCACTCAGACCCGACCAAGTAAACACAGAGACTTATATTGGTTACAAACTGTATGGCTGTGGCAGGCTTCTTGCTAACTGTTCTTACAGCTTAAATTAATCCATTTCCATTAATCTATACCTTGCCACATGGCTCGTGGCTTACCGGCATCTTCACATGCTGTTTGTCACCATGGTGGCTGGCAGTGTCTCTCTGACTCAGCCTTCCACTTCCCAGCTTTATTCTCCTCCTTGTCCCGCCTATACTTCCTGACTAGCCAATGGCCAATCAGTGTTTTATTT